ATATATATATATATATATATATATATATATATATATATATATATATATATATATGTATATGATTGTGTGTGTGTGTTTGTGTGTGTGTGTGTGGGACCAATAATTCCTATGGATACTAAAACTGATTACATGATGTGCCTAATTGATGTGTGCACACTAAAAAGAATTTCGGCAAAGAGGCACACCACACGCCTACTTTTGCAGTCCCAGGTTACTGGATGAATAGCAGACAACTGCAAAGATAATTGACTAAACATGAATTTAGTTTATACAGTGAAGGAAGCAATTTAACATGAAACATGATGTTAACTGTTCCATGGTTCAACTTTAGATTTACTTGAAAACAGTTATAGTCCATGTCCAAAAATAATTCTAAATTGAATAAAAACAGTTCTCTGACACGACTTTTAAGCCAAACAGTTTCTAATATGTAATTCCTTCGTATTTCTAAAGATAGGAGACAAATAAACAAACACTTGGTCTGCATGGCACTCACTCTTGTTGAAGATCTCGACATGGTCTTTGAATGGCCAGTCCTTGAACTGCCACTCCTTTCCCAGCACAAACACGGCCACAACACGGTCCCAGTCCTCGGGCTTGAACGCCGAGGGCTTATCCCTCACCTCATAGGCGGCCACCGCACGGTCCCGGCTCAGCTTCTTCTGCACGGTCACGCAGTCGGGCTTTGGCCCCCGCATTGCCTTCACCTTTACATCCGTCGGCACGAACACCCCGTCCTCCAAGAACTCCTTAACGTTGTAAATGGTGATCAGAGTCTGGAACGCGCTGGGCACCAGGATGATGGGCACCCCCTCTCCGATCTTGCTCCCCTTGAGGTGTATCTTGGGTTTGGGTGCGGCGGCGTCGGCAGCGTCGTCACCGGCACCGCCGTACGCCGCCACGACGGGCCGATGGTGATCGTCCGACCCGATGAGGCGGGTCTTGGCGACGAGGCCGTCCTTCCGCTGTTGGGACTCGAGGCGCTGCCGCTCCTCCTCGCGCTTGGTGGACGCCAGGAGCACGGCGTGGAAGTCGCGGTTGCGGCACTCGAGGAGGGACTCCCGGTCTTTCAGGGGGCGCTCCAGAGCGTGGATCATCGTGACGTAGTCGACGGGGGCGGCGGGAGCGAGATCCGCAGCGGCCTCATCGGCGGCTGTAGCGGGGGCAGAGGAAGGGGGCTCGTCGAGGGGGAGGGAGGGGTCATCAGGGCGGTACTCCTCGACGGTGGCAGAGGAGGGAGGGGGGAGGAAGGAGACAGCGTCAGAGGAGGCGATGCGGCCGAGGAGGTAATCGAGGAGGGGCTTGCGGTCGGGGAAGGTGACGGTGGGGAGGCGGTATTGGCGGGCGGACTGGAGGTATTCGGTGTGCTTGAGGTGGTGGTGGCGAGCGAAGAAGAGGAGGGCGTCGAGGGTGTAGAAGCCGCCCTGCTTGGAGCGGTAGGCAGTGACGGCGGAGCAAGGGAAGGCGTACTCGGAGCCGAACCGGAGCTCGTCGCCGGACTGGACCACCCGGTCCAACTCCCCTCGGATCGCGTACTCCCGAAGCACCGAGAGGGGGTCCATCTCCCCGTGAATTGGACGCCGATCGAAGGGCACTCAAGGAAGGGGCTTTGCGAGGGGTTGCCTTTGTCTACCGATTGGAGGAAGAAGAGGAAGAGTGGGTTATGGATGTCGGATCTCAGGATTCTTGACCCGATCCGCTCGTGTCAATTATTCGGTAAGGCAGGAGGGATGCTGGGTTGCGGATGTTGGATGAATCCTTGATCCGATCCGCCTTCTTCCAAATTATTGCAGGATGAAACTGTGCTCATATTATTTTTAATCAGTTAATACAAATTCTAATAAAATATAATATAAAAAATGTTCAATAAAAGATTGATTTTAGTAAGTATTTATTTATTTTAGCATTTTAGAAACATATTATAATGAGTAAGTTCTCCACTGGATTGGATCACAGTTAACTTCAACACCTTAAGGGTGGGTTATTATATATCATCTCTAATGTAACACCATCCCTTAGTTTACAACAGAAAGCTTAGTGGATAGACGTTGGATTTTATAATGCTTATTATGTGCATTTACATTTCCTTTAGGTTTCACTGTTGAGTTGGTAGAAATTGCTCGTGAGATCATCCATATGCAAACCAATAATATAATTATAATTTTCTCCGCATCTAATGTTATCGACCAATGCAGTCAAAGTCATCGAGGCTTATTTAAGACGTTTTTATTTTTATTTCATTAAGTTTTACTATTTTTGAGTGTTTTCTCATAGGTAGCATATATGAGGTAGAAAATACTATTATTGTTGGTACTTTTGTTTTTCTTTTGCAAGACTCAAAAATGTTTCTAGTTATATGATATTTATTGTGTTATCAGGAATGATGGTCTTGTATCTTTAATATCTTTATTAACATATCATTTGTTGCTTATATTTACTTTTTACAATTGTTTGACAATATGTTTTATTTTATTTTTATGTATTTTTAGTTGGTTTGTACAAACAGAAGTAGTTTACGAAACTATACAACAATTGATCATTAGAATAGATAAAGCTACTCCAAAATAGTTTAGTTTTCTATAAAACGTTGTGCAATACAAAATGTCAATCATGTTAGTACTCTAAAATGATTGTTCACTAAAGTGACATATGACTAAATGAGACTTTAGAATGGTGTTAGTGTTGTTTTGATATACAAATTAGCTTCATTTATCTTTAAAAACTTGCTGTACATACCCAACACCTAATTGAGTGGTTATTTGTGAACTTGACTTTTCTTTGATCTTATAAATTCTTTGTTTTCTTTTGCTTTTCTTTTTTCTCTTCTTTTTATTTTTTTTTGCTTTTCTTTGACCTTACAAAATGTCAATCTCTTCTTTTGTAAAACGTCGAGATTTATCTACTACTTATTTTCTTAAGCTAATCAACTTTTTTTTTTGTAAATCATTCCAGACTTATATGAGGTTGCTCTTAAACTGATCTTTTGTGGATGGATGATATAAGGGTGTCTCGTGATTTCAGTAATTTCAGCTAAGTTCATGATAACACCAAGGGGAAACATAGTCAAAATAGTCTCATTCTCATGTGTCATGAACTGATTGATCGCTTTACGGTGTGAAATATAAATTGTTTCAATATCCTGGAGCCCTTAAGTAGCATCAGGCCAAATGGGACCATAGTTATATGTTTAAGGGATAGCACAACGTCTTTAATATCTGTGCTTTCTCCTTAACAAAAATGCTAGGTAAATATTGGATCTATATATGCCTTTAGACCATCTTTGTGTAGACCATTTAGCCCATTTTCAAAAGCCCTTTATGCCTAATAAAACTTAATTGCTTTGTGTTACTTGCCATCCCATCTATTTTCATCTTTCTCATCTTTTTATATTTGTACATGTCCTTTAAGGATTGAAGGATATATAATTTTGTGTTTAAGGCTTGAAGCATTTGGTGAAGGTATTATCTTATACCAACATGGAAATATCATATTATTCTGCATCATCACCTTTAGTAGAACATACAGTTGGAGCATATTCCTTCTGCACAGGCAAGAGGGAATAAACATTAACAAAATAATTCTTTTTGTCTGTGAATTATTCTGTGAGAACTTACACAACATTAGAGAAATGCCACATACAATTGACAGTTCTCTCAAAGACTAGAACCTGGCAAGCATTGTATCTGCCTTGAATTAGCAAGCCTTATCTCATTCAACCTAAATAATGTTTGCAAATGATACAGAAACATATATATCATAGTCATGATAACAAGTCCACCCAGGAAACAGGTCTGCTGACTTTTAGGGCTCATGATGTATCAGGCTGCATAAAGGGGTGGAGATTCTCTATCCACCATGCAGCCTTCTTTTTCTTGTTCATGACAGTTCTTCCACGCACTACTTGAGCTCATCTCATAATGAGCATCTAGAAAATGATCAGCAAAATCTGGAAGCAACAACTTGACAATTATGAGCCAAAAAGGAGACAGATGCACATAAGATTGATCAGGTTTCCTAGTTTTACATTGACATCACTCTCTCATCCAAGGAAAGAAGGCTGTGACACAAGCCCTCAGCAGCCTAAAACAACAAAAAGAACACTCCACAAGGACCTTTTTCTGATCATTTTCCATCATTTTTTGACATCAATCCATGGCAATCAAATTCAATTAACAAGAAACAAGACATGCTCAATCATCGTCGCCATCGTCTGCAAACAAGGTGAAGAGATGCTTGTGCTAAATTGTTGGTGATGAATCAACTACTGCTTGTCCAACTCTTCATTGACGTGCTTCTCATGGCTTTGACACTCCTGCAGCAAAATTATTGTACATGATCAGTCCTGCTGTATCATTCCGAAACAGATTTCGGTAAGCTCAGACTAAACTATAGTGTTCATGAAGAGAAAAATAGAACAAACAGTCAAATTTTGCTGCATAAAGGACAGTAAATTACATCACACATCAAGGAGACATTTTATGCATCAGTGGTTGAAATGGTCCAGTAAGAAAAGCACAGCCATGGTTAGGTCACTTTCTATGCCAAAACACAGAGGTTGAAGCTTATCATATCCTGAATTGACTGCTGAGAGCTTTTAATTGATGGCGAAGGTAACCTCTAAAGAGGAATTGGGGGACCCCAACAGCAACCACAGGAGACATGGCGACCCCAGGCGTGTACAGCTTTGGACAGAAGCCACATTTCTACGAAATTAAGCACTGGTGTCTGATCTTGGTTATGAAAGTGACAAGGAATCAAAACGTCACGTTCAGTAGGCAAACGACATTGCGATTTCTTGCACAGAAGTTGATCGAATAGATTCATCAACGAATTCTGTAAAATAGTGGCATCATGCAGAAAAGTATTCCGAGTTTGATCAGGTTGGCGATTGCAGCTATGAATTCTCAAGCTAGAAGACCCTAAACATGACCACAAGAACCTGCAATGCTAATGATGAGCAAAGACTAGTACATCTGCAGCAAAAGGTGTTGATGTTGCAATCTATGTGATGTCCAATTCAAATCAAACTTTGAATTGAGTAAAAAGATTGATTCAAGAAAGCTAACCTATTCACAGGGATATCCATTTCTTCTCCAAGATTCTTCTTGCATGCACAGCAGAGGAAGTCATCCGCAGAGCAGCCTTCATGGCTTGGAAGAGGACTACTCTCCTTCATCACAGCGGTGAATTCGTCGCCGCAGCTCTCCACAATGCAATTGTCAAAGATGTGCGTGGTCTTCGGATTCGGCCCGTGGGAGATCACGCAGGTGTAGTCCTCCGAGAGCTCCATCTCGCTCACGGAGATGCTCCCGGTGGTGAAAGCCCATGGGGAAGAGGAGGCGGCGGGCGCTTCGTGGCCCAGGGATCTGAGTACCGGTGAGAAGAGAGCCAACTGAGAATCCTTGTTCTTGATGCCGAATTCGATTGGGGAACTGGGCAACTCCATGGACCTGGCCGGCGGCGAACCGGAGCTCGAGCACACGGACGGGATTTGGATCTTTAACTGCGATCCAAACAGAACCATTCGACGCTGCGGATTGGAGGACTGCATGGCTTTGTCATCGGTGAGAGCGTCAACGATACCGAGGCCGATGGGCTCTTGTCCGCTGCTGTCCCAAGGGTGGTGTTTGCTCTCTGTAACAGTGTCAGTCGCGGCAGCTGAAGCATTCTCCAAAGGAGGATTCTTTGGCAGCGTATCGGAGTGTAAGAGGTTGCCGAAGGAAGACAAGTGCTTAGTTTCGAGTATGGAGGTCGGGCTCATCATGGCCGCCTCATGGTCTGAGAAGCTCTTCGAAGAGAAGCTCCGGAAGAGACTTGGAGAGGGGAAGAGGGAGGAAGCTGTGGGCTTATTGTGGCTGTTACCAGAGGAAGATGAGAGGGAGTAGGGATCAGACATCAAGCCCTGTTTGCCACCAACTGCCTTCGATCTCCTCCTCAGCATACTATCTTGCTCCTTTGCTCTGAGACGAAAACGAAATGAACAGAACAAAAAGGCAAACAAATACAGTAGAACAACTGTCGAACTCACCACTCCTGGCTGTTAGATTCTCTTCTCTTCAACCTCAATGGAGTGGAAAGATCAAATCTCCAAGATTGCTTCAGAACAAAAACGAAAGCAGATCATGTCTGTAGACGCAGTCTCCATCAGAACAATCACCGAAGTCATTTCTCCTCACTCACCAAGCCATCACCAAAGGCAAAAAAGGAAACAAATAAAAAGATCATCCACGACCTGAAGCTAAAAAATCCGATTTTGACAGCAAAATACTAAACAAGATCGCTCCTTTCGGCTTCTTCCCTGGCTCCAAGAGCGATCACTGCACGGAGGAGGAGGGGAGGAGGGGAGGAGGGCACTCCTAATGGGGGTGGCAGGGACAGAGGAGGGGTGTGGTGCTCTGCCCAGGGGAAGCAAGATACAAATGGGGGAGGGGTTATTTAAACAGGAAACCGGTGTCGTGCCGTGCGTTGGGATCAGATAGCCACGCCAGAACAGAGAAAAAAGGTTCCAGGATTGCATCTGCCTCCGCCAAAACCACCATATCCGGCTAAAAATTTTTCTTCTCTCTCTCTCTCTCTCTCTCGCTCTCTCTCTTTCTTTCTTATCGACGACTGACTGCGACCCGCAATCAAATGCGACAGTTATTAGTATTTTTTATGACTGCTGGTGTTCATCACAATTACTCCGAAACAGATGGCAGAATTATTAGGGAGCGAGGGATGATGGCACGACGCTTTTGATCCATGGACAGTACGGAAAGTTCAATTTTTACTGTTTGAGGCTTGTACGAATGAATAGTTTAGTCTCAGGGAACGAGGCAGGCATTCTGGCTGGTCTTGGCTTGGCTTTAAGCTTGGCTGGCCATGAACAGTGGTGGTGTTTTGGAATGACGAGGGAGGAAATAGTGCTGGGAAGACACTCCCTCCGTTGCTTGATGCAGTGTTGTGATGCAGACCACTTACTCAACAATTTTGGATAATGCTTGGTGTCATGACGTAAGAGGATTAATACTGGTGGTTAGAGGCTTAGATTTAATAAATAGTCGAACAATTTTGGTTCTTAGTTTCAGAATTTTATAATAATTTGATAATGTCTCTCTATATTATCATCCAATTAACACACACATATATATATATATATGATTTAAAAAAAATTATATTTTTCATGAAAGGTGCTTTGTTTTTTTTAATTATACTTCTATTTCTTATAATCTCATAATATCACTCATCATCGTGAATCATCTTTATCCCTCCTTCTTTGATTCTTTTCTTAAGAGCACGAAAATGAAGGGTATTTTTTTTTTTGAAAATATCCTTCATTTTTTCATATGATATCTCTATTTTCTGTCATCTTGTAATGCCTCTCGTGATTATCTGTTGCTATTGCTACCTCCACCGATAGTGAGGCCTAGCCACCTCCATATGGTTGCCTTCATCTCGTCTTTTTTTTTTTTCTTGAGGGCATAAGCACAACATAGGTATTGAGAATAAAAGATGAAGGGCGAGGATAGAAATCATCGAGGGGTACTTCGATAATAACAATAATAATATCACGAGGTCTCATAGAACTTGGGAGGACAATGACGAAACCTCTACGATAGGCAACAATAAGAGACATGTAGAAAATAGAGATACTATATCGAAAAAAAAAGATAAGTATATCTTCTAAAAAAATCTTAAAAGATAGATATTTTTAGATAAATCATCCTTTTATATATAATAATTTTGATAAATAAATTATTAATATTTACTAATTATTTTTAATATATTTAGGAATATACCATATCTGGTTTTGGTTTAAGGTTAATAATTTGCCCTAAAAATACAGTTCTACTTTAAATCAAAACCAACTATTAATATAACATCAAAGATGAGCGATTGAAAGGATCTTACATCAAGATTACTGCTGATGGCACTGCTCTCCAAGTACTTCGCCCCACTGACCCCAAAGTGGAGTTGGCTTGGAAGCCGAGTCGAAGGGGCACACCATATTTTCACGGACTTCGCTGCGGGTCCCGCCCGACCCGTCCTCTCTAAACCGACTCTTTTTACTTTGGGCCCCACCCGATCTCTATTCCCGTTGGTTTCTACTGTCGTCCACCCAACGTTTCGGTGCGGTGCTCAGTGGTTTTCTTTGTAAATAGCATGATAAAGTGAGGGTAATTTTCTAATCGAAGGGATTACGTGGGTCCCAGTGCTTCTATTTCTTTGACTCCGCATTGGGAAATTAAAAGAAATAATAGCAATCTCGAGGCTTTATTTTATATAGACACCTCAAAAGTTTAAAATTTATATATTTATTATTATATTATTTAATATGATTTACTTATTCTTCCGAATATTAATTTCTTCACACATGCCAACTATGGTCAAAAAGCATCTAGAAAACAAATTTTAATTTATTTGAAATAAAAATTCTACATATTCCTAACATTTTAAACACCATTATGAGTCTTTAAAATGAGCTAATGCATAATAAAGTTAATTATAATGATATATATGTATATAAATTGTTAGGCTTTGGAAGGGATAAATAATAAAATGGTACATATATAAATTAGATAAAAGGTTGGTGAGAAAGACTTTCATTTTTTATTTCTTCCTCTAAATTTAAAATAAAAAAGAAATTTTGAGAAATTTTTAAAAAATAATTATAGATAAGCATAAACCAGTTTTATCATAATCATTGATTTTTTTCCTTAACATAAATCAAATTATCATAAATAATATGTGCCTTTATTTAAATTATTAATTTTATAATATGATTAAAAAATGATTAAATTGATTTTCTTAATCATGTGGACAAGTTAAAAATTTTATCAACTAATTAAATTATTAATTAATTTATTTTATAATTAATGATATGATTTTCAGAAAGTAAATAGGTTTAATTTTATTTTTATATGTGAACCATAAAAAATTACTTATTTTTTTGATGAGAGCTTATCTTCCCCTCTAATATAAAGGAGTTTTGGCTTCCTCATTTCTTATGGAGCTTGACAGTAAGAGGATTAAGGAGAAGATTTCGTTGAAGACAGGTAGGATCATACATTATTTTTTATCAACTTTTATTTATATTTTAAAATCTTTGATATTAGAGTTATTATAATTTATATGTTGCATAATAATATTTTTAATTTTAAAATTTTATGATTAATAAATAATGATCATTGAATTATGATGTTAGAATGATTAGTTAATCTAATATTAATAAATAATTTTAATTTATTTACTTAGACATATTAATGTTTAAAAGAATTATATGTGAATTTTTATGATTTAATTAATTTTAGATTTGGAATCATGAATTTAAATTATTATTTTATTAAAAAAGATTTGAGATTAATTATTATTTTATAATATTTTAAATAATTTTAAAATATTAAAATTTAATTTAATAAGATGAGTCAAATTGGGATTTGAATTGAGTTAGGTTGATTAGCTAAACTAGCCAATGTGGTTAAGAATGTCTCAGCTGATGTGGTCAGTTATGATTTTGTCCATGTGGCTAAACACAACTCAACTCTTATGGCCATGTTCGACTTAACCCATGTAGATATGCATGACTAACCCATGTAATCATGATACGACTCAGCCCATGTAGTTAGATATGATGTAACTCATGTGGCCAATCATAATGCAACCCATGAGCTAAGTATAGGCTAGTTCAACACTAAAGCTCAACTCAAACCATGAGTGAGATTTAGCCCAATCCGTGAAGCTAGGCTCGTCCGATTATGCTTCCAGTGTTAGACACATTGTCATCCTTCTATCTAACCCATTATATCTCAACTCAACCTATTACCTGGGGCAAGCATATGCGATGCATATGACTTATTCAATACTCAAGTGGGTCGTCTAGACTAGCACTATGCAATGTAGTCTTTTCCTTTTCTTTTATTGGTTTGATCATATTAGTTGATTGAATCAAATATATTTGATCAATTCAAGCCAATTCAAGGTGATTCCAGAATAAATTGACTCGTTTAAGTCCACTTGACCTCATTAAAACTAATTATATATAAATTAGACTCGTCTATGATGATTCTAACTAGTTTTATAAGGATTTGAGGTTAGTTCTATTAAGTATCAATTAAATTGAGTTTGGTTTAAATTATTTGGGCCACTCCAATTAGGGTTCTCGTTGATTCAAGACTATTAAGAGATTGATGCCTCACGTTTTTATAATTCAATAAATTTAAAAATTTTATCTGAATGTATCATTTGAAAATGATTGATAATTTTTATTATTTTTTAGATTAAATTGATAATTTTGATGTGATTATTACTATATAGTATATATAACTATGTTGAATTCTGCATATTGGAAGTGAAAGAGTTACAAGTCCATCATAATACGAAGCTACTAATAGATATAGTATAATAGATCATACATTAACCATGATTTCTCATAGTTTAATAGTGTAACTTATGTTATTTTTTGGATATATGTGTAAATGAATAGATAAATGTAAATGAATGATCATAATTATTTATATATCATTGTCAAAGACAAATAAGGTGATTTTATTTGGAGATTAACAAGTCGTTAGATGTGATAATTAGATAGTTTCTCCATCTGCTGTTGGGAGGAATATGCTCCTACTTGGATAAGTAAAAAATATCACTATATCCATTATTGGGAAAGCCATATGAGTTCTCTCTGTACACTATTGAAGGAATCTAGTGGAGTATGCATGTTTATCTACTATTGTGAGAGTACATTCTTGAATGTGATATATATCTTTATTATTTGACTATTATGTATATCGTGGATGTATTGTGTATGACTAATACATAATTTTGTTTACAATCATCATTATTTTTTTGATAGATAAGTTTTATAATGAATTAATATATTATTATTTTATATTAATTATTAATATTTGTATTTGTTTCACAAGTATTGAAGATTAATCTTATGATTTTTTAGAAATTCCTACCAACATACTTGGCTACTAATGTATTTTTATTTTATATTTATTTTTAAAATAATAAACTATTTTGTAATGAATTTGGGACTTGGTTGAAGGAGATTTTTTTATCATTTTAACCCTAATAAAAAGATGTTATTTTTAAAATTAAAAAAATTATTGTTATAAAAATATGGATTTGCATTCAAAAGAAAGAGAAAAGAGTGTTCATGATGAATAATAAAATGATGATTACTCTGCAATATGGGATGTTATGAAAAGAGTCTTCATTAAATAAGGAATTAATGAAATTAATTTTTTGTTGCTAAAGATAGATAACATGGGATGTTACTCTATACCAATTGAATGCTTATAAAGTTTCAATATTTTGCTAGATATAATAATAATTTCAACATTGTGACTACAAAATATTGCACAAGTATATGCATAAAAAATAGAAACTATTTCGAAGATACTAATTTACGTAAACAAATGCATGTTGAGGGCTAAATTAAGATCTTGTACTATCTTAGTCGGTCCAAACACTCAAAACATCGCATCAGAACGAGACAAGTCAGTAAAAAAAAATGATGGAAGATCTTCTCCAAGGAGGAGATAACGCAATTGTGGGTGGGTAATTGGTGATAAAATGTTTGG